GAATAGTCCCTGTTTTCAAAGAGTATATTCTTCGAGAGGGACACACATATGCATAATAACTCTAAGACTAATCAATTAGAGCATAGAGAACATCTTAGCAACCAGAAAGAAGGCTTCTTGGAAGAAGTCTCATCTAAGCTGAGACTTGAAGGAAGACAAGCGTTCTGAGAGATGAAGATGAAAATGAGATAAAAAGGTAAGTGCTTTTTGGGTGTGGAGCCACCAAAGTGGGAGATGGAATATTAAGTTTTGAGAAGAGCTTGTAGCCAATGTGGCTAGACTGTACAGTGCAAAAAGCAATAAGAATTAGGGCTAAATTGAAGTGTAGGTTGTAATCAGTTAATAGTAGGCCTTAAATGCTATGTCAAAGGGTTTATATTTTATCACAGATGCAATGGGAAACCTCTGTTTGAGAAATGTTGAATTCAAGGTAATGGGAACTTCTAGGTGGCAATAGTATATGGGAAGAAATATAAGACTAGAGGTCTGAGGGGATGACAAGGCTGGTGTAGGTACGTATTTGGGAGTCATTGGCAAAGGGCTAAGTATTGAGACCTGTCATTAAAATAATACTTCACTTACCTTGAGGTTATACTTCTGACAATCTCTTACCATTCAAAACACGGTTTAGGATCCAAAAATAAGTTTTTTAAAAAAGCTTCTCAGCAATTAAAATAGCTGCCCCAAACCTGGTATATTAGATTTCCCATGCTTGATTTCCACAGGAAGGCCCCTCAGGCCTCACTTGATTTTCAGAGATCATTGACTCATTTTACACAGAATTTTCATAATATTGTGAAATATTGATTCCTCAATCCCCATTAGACTAGAATAGAAGCAACAAACTAGAAGTGTGAAGGCTGCTAGAAGCAGGCACACTTTTAGTGAACATGACTTACCAGGAAGGAAGAAACATAAAAAGTATGTAAGCATTGGTTACTAAAGGCTGTATTGACATTGTGCCAAAAAAACCAGTTGATTTGGTCAATTGTATCAAGTGAGCTGGTCATTTCAGTGAAAAATCAGTCGAGATGGTTAATCAGACACTACATGTAAGCAGACATTACAGCAACTTCCATTTGTGCAGCACTTTTGTGGTATACAAAGCACTTTCCTCAATACAATCTTGTGGAGGATGTGTAATGGATTTAAAGGCAGACTTGAATTGAAGTTCTGATTCTGTCATTTACTACTTATGACTGATTATGGGCAAGTCACTTGAGTTCTCTGAAATTCAGTCTCTTCATCTGTAAAATGGGGACAATAATACTTAATAACATCTGCCTCACAGCATTGTTGTGGGTAAAGTTCTTCGTTTACCTTAATGTGCTCTATATATGTGAAATATTATTATCTGCATTTTAGAGAAGAGGAAATCGAGGCTCAGGAAGGTGAAGGACTTGCTCACATTCACACAGCCAGTAATCAAGGACTCAATATCAAATCTTCAGATATCAAATTCACTACTCTTTCCATTATCATATTAAGAAGAGGCCAGTAGTAAAAAAAAATGGTCCTCAAACACCTTTACAGAAAAAAAAAAAGAATTGCTTTGAATCTGAATTTCTAGGAGAGGCCATCCTTTGTTTTATGTGTGTATGTGCATGCATGTGTGTGTGTGTGTGTGTGTGTATGTGTGTGCATGTATCCCTTAGTATGAGTTACCTGATGTATTTAGTTCATTATCAAGGAATATATGAATACTTTATTTCTATAGTTGTGATTCCATAATAGCAAAACAACTATTTGAAGAAAAAAAAAAACAACTCTCAGCCAATTAATTGTCTGTTTGTTCTCAAAGATAGCACCCAAACAGCTGGTCTGATTTTTCCCCCAGGACAACAAGGAGACACGGCCCATGTCTTCTCCCTCTAACCCCCATTAAAAGGACAAGAAATAGTCGTTCTGATAACTCCATAAGGCTAATGGACAAATGAAAACAAACTGGGTTTCCAAAGTTAAAAACAGTTTTGCTTTTAGGTCAACAGCATTTAATAAAAACAATCCATTCTAGGCCTTCCCTTTCACTAAATGTCAATGATCTCTTTTCCCTTTGACATCAAATTCAGGGCTGAAATGATGAATCCTAAACTGACAAGCTATCCAAGGCCTTAAAAAGCCATTCCTTATGGGGACTTGGCTGTATTTTTAGAATTCAGTATCCCAAACAAAGGCAACATGAAAATTCAGATGGATTCTGCACCTCGTTAGATAACCAAAGTTGTAGTTATCAGAGATCCTTCTCTGTGACTGTAAATAGCCACAGACCTGACAAGCTTGTCTCTAGCGGGTTTTTGAATCATGATAGTAGTTCACTTGTGCAGGCAGACAACCATCCTAGCACTTGGAAGATGAATAAAAAACCTTTCTGGCCTGAGGTTTAGCTAATTGGACTGTGTAATGTTATTCAACAGGAGAATCATTCTGACACTGATGTTGGAGGGAAATGATCATAGGCACTGAAGGCCTTGTTCATTTAATTCCAAGGCTCTAAAATGTTCAACACAAACCAGGGTGTCATTTCTGTAGTAGAGGTGAAGAGCAGAAAATTATGGCATATATTAAATTATTAGAATATAATAGAAAGAGCCAACTAAACACTAATGTATTTTCCCTCTTTTTCTCTTTCTCTGTCTCTCTCCTTCTCTCATTAGCTCTCTAGAACACAGTGACAAGTTTCCTGGAGTTTTTAGGGATAGAAAATCTATCCTATTCTCACCTAGAAATAGAGCCCTCAAGAGCTACCAGAAAATATAGTTCCCCTTAAAGCTTGTCAAATGCATAAAACACTCAGAGCTACACTAAGGTTGGCATGGCAAGACTGATATTGCATGATTAGAAGACTAGCTAATTATGAGCACCCCTTTGGTTTTGTTCCAGGTTACACCCTGATACTGTGCTAAACTTTATTGATACACACTCATGTGTGCTGAAGCACTCACTGAGTGGGGAGACATTCTTTCCTCCTGAGTAAACTTGAAGAAGATTTTCCCTTTCTAGGTTTAACACATTTCTCTGCCCTGTGGGTTTGAGTTTTAAGCTCATTGTATGCATGTACACACATACCTCACAATACCACTATTGTTATAACAGACCTCTGCTCACATTTTATAGTTGGGAACTGAGGTTGGTTGAGTGATTTGCCCAAAGGTCATGAGAAGAGTAAGTTGAAGAACTTCAGTGTATCCATACATTGAGAGATCACTATCTTCCCTGTCCTTTAAGGGGTTCTCAAAATCTATAGCAGTGAGGGTAAGCTCTGGAAGGTCCTCCCAAGCTGGAATAGCTTCAGGTATAGGTTCAGGGATGGAGTGCATGTTTGGAGCTTGGACTAGCGAGATGAATTTGAAGAGGGTCCTCACCACACTGGCTAGAGATAGAATGAATTTTTCAACCCTGGCAATTCTTGGAGACCATTCACTAAATTCTGGAGGGCTATGTTCTGTATCAGTGGTACTCACAATGATGTGATTACAGGGCTTTGCCAAATATCATTACCCTGGCCTAACCCAAAGCACTGTAAACATCAAATGAGACAATCGATGTGAAAGTGCATCCTTTGTCTGAATAAGCCCAGGGATTTTCTTGGACTGGGAAACTCCCAGGGAGGGAACACTGCCCACCAATATAGATTAGCACACTCTCTGCAATTTGTAATCTTGGAGTTTTCTTACCCAGCCAATATGTACCAGAGGTAAAACCTGAATCCCAAGTCTCCATGAGGCCACTCTTTATTTATTGTGCCACACTGCCTCAAAAATATTCTAAAAAACTACAAAGTAAAAATGCAAGATATATAGCAAGCACATAGGAATAAGGTGCTTCTTAGACAAGAACAAAAAGAAGATAGTAACTTTGGAAATGGTAGTAGAGCATTATTGTTAGAGATATGAATATTTAACTTTTAAAAATACTCATTTAGGAGACAATATATACACATCACATAGTAGGTACTTAGTAAATGCTTGTTGAATTGATTTGAATATTTTTAAAGTGATGAATGAGAGAATTATAGCCAAACAAACATTATTTCTTGAAGAATGGATGCTTGACCCTGAGAACTAGAACATATCAGAATGATGAAACATGTAGCTAGATTCTGATATTGCATAATCCTGTGGGAAATGAGTCGACTTCTCCCACTGGGTTTCATATGATGAGAAGTTGATTCATTATATCTTAGTACAGAAATCACAGAGGAAAAAACTGAAAAAGTAGAGAATAATTACATGATAGGGTGGAAGGATGATGCTTTGTGGGGGCAGTCAGGAAGGATTATTCTTTGGTTAAAGGAATTCTACTTCAATCGATATTTTCTTTAGTCTCATCAATTCAAAAATAATTTTCTCTGATCCTAGAGACACAGAAATATCATTTTCAAGGAAGCAAGTGATAGTCCTTGACTAATAAAGCAGCATTTTCACATCTGATATCTTTTAAATTTGCTTCTTGATAAAATCTTGAGGGAAAGAAAGAATACTTTCTTTTCAATATCAAGATTTCAAAGGTAGATCTTAAAGTCTAATATTTGGGAGCTGGTTCATTCTACTCATATGAATAGAGTCATGCTTTTTTTAAAAGGTAAATGTTTTATTGGAGGAAATAGATTTCACCTTCTAGATTTCACCACAGTCTACCCACATCCTGGAAATATATTTAATAGCAAGCCAATGGTTAATTTCATTATTTTTGAAATAGTAATCTTTGTGAAGTATACAATAAAGAAAATAAAAGGTAGTATAAGGCTTTTTTGACTTTGAGAATCATATTTTTCAGTCTTGAATGTTCTTATGCACATAATCTTGAATATCCCATATAACAGTCTTTATAATCATATTTGTAATCTATATAGAATTAATCTTGCACCAAAAAAATCAAAACTTATTATTTCATCAGATTCTCATGGATAATGAGCATTAGTTATGCTGCTGTATTCTTAGATATGAACTCATTCATAGCATGTAATTCATTTCCTAGGAATGTCAGTAGACCATAAAAGATTTCCTGGAGACCAGTGGTGCTTTACAGGTGTAATCCTGGAGCTCTGCACTATACAAAAACAAAGACTATGTGATCTGGCCCGCTGTAAGGAGGAAGAAAATGTCTTGCTTAAGAGAAAATTATTTATTGAGAGGTAAGCATGGTATATTACTATAGAAAGCATGCTTGGAGGCAGCAAGAGAGATCAGGGTTTGAATCATGTCACTAAGTACTTAGAAAACTTATGATGTGCCAAGCACTGGGCTAAGCCCTGGGGAAGAATAAAGAATAACAACAGACAAGCTCTCTCTCTCTCTGTCTCTCTCTCTGTCTCTCTGTCTCTCTCTCTCTCTCTCTGTCTCTCTCTCTCTCTCTCTCTCTCGCTCTCGCTCTCTCTCTCTCTCTCTCTCTCTCCACATATATATCATATATATAGGATAAATTAGAGATAATCGACAGAGAAAAGGCACTGGAGTTAAGGGAAAGGCTTCTTGTACAAGATGGGATTTTAGCTAAGATGTGAAAGAAACCCTGGAAGCCACGAATCCTGACTCTGATCCTTACTGGCTATGTGATTTTAGGTAGGTCACTTAACGTCTTTGAGGTTCTTAATTTATTAACTTTTTGAGGTTCTATCTCCTTATCTGTAAACTGAGGATAATAGTACTTGCAATACATTATTTCGTGGTTATTATAAGTAACAGGCTATACACATGTGAGTTATTATTTTTAGAAAATAGTACGAATATAATATTTCCTCAGTGGATTTTTCACATCCATAAGACAATACAGACAAAAAAAAGCCATAACACAACCAATATATGAGGATTGGGAATGTGGGAGAACAGGTGTAGGCCTTAGTGGAAGAACTAGAGTCATGAAATATCTTTTCAGTTGCTATCAGAATAATTTACCCAGCTCACACTGTCCTAACCATGTTTCTGGGTGACCATGTAGAAATAAGTGGATACCTCTGCATATCATTTCATATCATTTCTCCTTCACGTGCCCTCCAGTCCAATAACAAAACTGGCCTGCTAGCTATTTTTGCACATGTCATTCCATTTCATGCCTCTTTTGCATAAGGTATCCCACATCTGGAATGTACTCTTAGAATTCTAGCTTCTTTTAAGGGTCATCTCAGTTCCACCTCCCACGTAAGGCCTTTTTCTGATCTCCCAAGTTATTAACACTTTTTCCTTCTCGAAATTATTTTATATTTTCTCACTTGAGTACATGACACATCCCATGAGAAGAATCTAATAGGCTCCTTGAGAGCAGGGCCTATTTCTCTCTCTTTCATATCCCCAATGATAGGCTAAGTATTTTTCATAGTAGGTGCTCAATAAATGTTTGTTTAAGTGAATTTATTAGGCAGATGTGATGTTTATTTTAGGGGGCGGATTTTAAAAGTCATCTTTTTTAAACAAAAAAACTCAATCACCTCAAGAACTGATTGTTTGTCATGAAGAGTGATACAGGGCAACAACGTTGTTAAAGCAAACAATTTTGAAAGCTGTTTGAACACAGATTAAAGGCAATGACCAACCTCTGATTCCAGAGGAATGATGATAAAACATGCTATCCACTTCCTGACAGAGAAGAGGAGAACTTAGGATTCAGAATGAGAAATTTTTTTTTTAATATGGCCAATGTGAAAATTTGTTTTAATTATGCATAATCATTGCAAGGATATTGTTTTTTTAAAACATTCAGTGGTAGCTGGTATGTGAGGAGAGAAAAATCAATTTTTGTTGCTGAAAAAATTAATTTAAAAAATGGAAAAAAAGTGATATGGCTTGCTAGTTCAAGACTTGCAAGTGTTGAAGGCCCTTTGAGTGAATGAATAATGTGGCAATAACCTTGAATTTTAAAAAGTATATCAGCAGAGTACAAGCTCTGGCAAGGGTCTACCTTGGACTACAGGTCCCCTTACAGATCGTATGTCTGCTGTCTAAGAATGATCCACCTAAGGGCGGAAGCAACACCAGCAGCAAGTTGGTCCTCAGGTAATGAAGTCTTGGCTATAGTGACTAATGAAACAGGAGTCCTCGGTTCTGAGTGGCTTCTAATGCTTCTCCCGTGATGATGACAGAATGGTAAAAAAGGAGGCACAGGGTACTAAGAACTATGAATTTTTGACTATTTATGGACATTGCCATAACTGTTGCCACTCTGAATGTAAGGTCTTTGTTCAACAAACCATAAGATAATATGTTAGTGGAAGAAAGGAACTGTATCTAAATTTACATTCTCCCTATAAATGAAATCAAAAGATATAAAGATGTTATAGGTAAATGCAGATTAAGAAATGAAAGAGACCAAAAGCTTACTGATTATTCAGAAATCTCATGCTTAGATATTTTGAATATTCTCCTCAAGAATGGGTGTGTCAGGTACTGAATTACATCACACACACACACACACACACACACACACACACACGAAAAGAAAAAGTAGTTGACTTTATCTTGACAGAAAATTCCTTGATGTGAGAATCTCTTCGTAATATCTTTCTGTGTTTTGCCAAATCACTAACTAAAAAGGAAAGGTCAAAATTAAGGCAAATTGGAAGAAAAGATAAAGAAAATAAGCTATTGATTTCTGAGAACAGTTGAAAATGGGAAGTGGATAAAATTTAAGATATTGATTCTAATTATCACCATTTTTAGAGATGAGCTGATATAATAATGATTGACTTTATATAGTGATGTACACATACACAATTACATTTGAGCTGCACAATTACTCTGCAAGGTAGTGACTATGGATATATTTTTCCTCTTATTCCTATCAGAGAGTTTAAGTGACTTGTCTCTGTGGTCACAGAGCTGGTAAGTATGAGACATAGGATGTGAACCCAGGTATTCCTGATTCCAATTCTAGCATTCTACCTACTAACCCAATATTACTTCAGTGAGGAGGCCAAAAAGCTCAGAAAACACTTCAGTCAGCAAATACTTAATCTCCTGCCCATACTATGGCATCAAGGACAGTGCCAGTATGGAGTATGACCTCCTTTGCAAAACATTATCCAGGATTATGATAGAAGATTTCAAGCAATATCACTTCATCAAAGGTCTCAAGAAGTTGTGCAGAGGAAAATGAGTCTGTAAGACATTTGGTGCAAGATCAAACTAAGCCATGTAGACAAGAAACAAGAGACCAACCAACCACCAGACAGGAAATGGAATAGATCAGTCAAGTTTCTGCAGTCATGAGTTTTTACCATGGTGACTTTTACAACTTAGTTCTTAATGTGAGAAAGTGAAAATGACATTTAGGAAAATGAAGCTAGATGTGATATAGAAGAAATCTCTCCAGGATGCAAAACAATTTAAAAGTCATTCAGAGAACATTTTTTAATATATTTTAAAAAGTAGATAGCACTTAGGAAATTTCACAATGCATAAAATGATCTAGCATCTAGAGCTATTTCTTGACTCCAGATCCTAGAGCTGTTTCTTGACACGTAAAGCCATCATTTCAACAGCAATAATCTCTTGGGGATAAGATGTTGCCATGAATCATGAAACATTCTAATCTCATAAGCATCCAAATTGCAGGTAATCCAAAGAGTAATGGAGAAATGAATGGCAGCTGTAAAATGGGAATCATAATAACCTCTACCTCCCAGGGTTGTTGTCAGGATAAATTGGCTTAGTATCTGTAATGCGCTTTGCAAACTTTAAAATGCTACCTAAATGTAGGCAGCAAGGTGGCACAGTGGATAGAGTGCCAGGCCCACAGTCAGGAAGACTCTTTTTCCTTAGTGCAGATCTGGCTTCAGACACTTACTAGCTGTGTGATCATAGGCAAGTCACTTAACCCTGTTTGCCTCAGTTTCCTCATCTGTAAAATAAGCTGGAGAAGGAAATGGCAAACCACTCTAGCATCTTTGCCAAGAAAACCCCAAATGGAGTTACAAAGAATTGGACACAAGTGAAATGATTGAACCACAACAAAAATAGCATATGATTAAGTATGACTTATATGTAAAATGTAGTATCATCAAGGGGCTAGCATGGTGGGAAAAGGAATAAAAGAAAATAGGACATCCTGAGTATTGTATAGTATGAACTAAATATTGAAGACATGATGATGATGATAGCATTTATGCAGTGCTTTGTGATTTGCTGAGCACTTTACAAATATTTTCTTATTTGATTTTCACAACCCTGGAAGGTAGATGTTATTATTATCCTCACTGTACAGATAAGAAAACTAAGATAGAGCTCAAGTGACTTACTCAGGGACACACAGTTAGTAAATGTCTGAGATAGGATCTGAACTCAGTTGACTTCAGGACCAGTGCTCTATCCAATGCACCACCTAGTAACCTTTTTAGAAGACTTTCAAAACATTGGGCACGTTGGATATCTCCTCTGGGGAAGGATAGGGATAGAGACTGAACCTATAATTTCTTTGGTAAAAGGAACTTTTAGATGAAGAAACCTCTCTAGCTAATATAGGTCAGTAATTTCTCTACAGCTAATACTGTTAGAGAGCTGCTTAGAGCACTGAGAGGTTAAGTGACTTGTCCAGGGTCAAAAAGCCAGGATTTGTCAGAGGCAGGTCTTGGATTCCTGGCTTCCTGGCCCCACAACCAGCTCCCTACCTACTATTCCATGTGAAGAGCAATCACCCAGCATGAGAAGGCACAGAAAGGTCATGAGCTGTACTGTTGGAGGAAGTGCCCACAGCAATGATCCATCAAAGTATGGAAGAAATGAGGTAATGAGTAAAAATTTTTAAATATAAAACAGATTTGCCACATGTATTCTATTTAATAAAAGATAGCTTCTTTGGGTTAATTATTAAAGGATGGCTACAGAATATGTTTGATTCATTGAATGTCAGGCGGGGAAGAGTTCTTAGAGACCACAGATCTAGTTCAATCTCCTCATTTTACAAGGAGGTAACTATAGACCAAAGAGCGGAAATGACTTTTCCAGGGTCACATAATGAGACAAAGCTAAGTCAGGACTATACATCTCCTGATGTTCTCTAGGGCAGTCAGCCACTGCTTACCTACTAAAGAGCATTTAACCTTGGCAGAAAATGTGGTTAGAGTGAATCCACTGCTTCACAAGCATTTATCAAGCACCTACTATGTATACAGTACTGGGGATACAAAAACAAGATTAAAAATAG